CCGGGGGGATGGAGGCGGGCAGCAGCCTGCGGGGTGGCAGGGCTGAGCACGAGCTGTGTTAATGCTCCAGGCAGCGTGCCGGTCACGGTAGCTCCTGCACGCTCGCAGGCTGCCGAGAGCCCCCGAGCAAGCAGGGCTCTGGCGCATCCTCCGAGACTGCGGAGGAGCAGCACCAGGCAGCAAGCTGCAGCTCCCGCCTCCTCCCCAGCCGGGTGCCTTCGGGCCGAGGATGGCAAGAGCCAGCAGCCGAGCGGCCGGAAATGGGAGCTCAGGATGGCAGCCGGCCCAGGGCTGAGCCCTGCCCAGCTTCCCTGCTGCCTGCCCCTCAGCCTGGAGCCACGAGGCAGGAGCATTTCTACAGCCTTCTGCAACAGCAAAACGGATTTGAGAGCTCAGGTTAGAAAGCATTATTTTGCCAGCTGTGATGAGGCTAAGCCTGAGCTGGAGCAATGTTAGCCATTTACAGAGGGAGGGATTTTGAGCAGAGTAAATACTCAGTATGTCCACTTGGGCAGAACTGGTGTTTTCACTTGAGGCTAAGAATTTCATAGATGCCAGCAATAAAGGCTCAGACTCTGCAAACACTTGGGCATGTGCCTCACTTGGCTTTTACTGGGAGCATCTGCATATATAATTACATTCCCATGGAATACCAGGAGCCTTTCCTTTGCACAGTCAACATGAAGCACCCTGTAAGGTTACCCAGTATCACCCTTTTATCAATAATTTTTAATTATGTCATCATAGGAGTTGCTATAAATCATATCAATACTCTTAAGAATGTTGCACACCTGCTTTCTAGCACCATCTGGAGGCAAACTGTTTTCCACCCAACTGAGTGGAAATGGAGCCTGTAAATCCAGGATAACAAAAACCTCTAACTTTTCTGGGTCAAACACCCAGCAGAGATTCAGCTGTTTGCTGATCTGAACGGTCATTTTAATAAAGACAAATGGTTTACCTGTGGTTGTTTGCTGGAGGAAGACGACTGTTCAGGAACATATGTTTAAACTTAATAAGCTAACTCTAGGTAAAAGTCAGAACAATGCTGCTTCTCTGCAAAAGCCAGTGAAAAAACCTCTGACAATGCGGCTTTAAGAAACTGAAGAAGAAAATGTAGAGGAAAACCAACTGCCTGAGATGAGTGTCACTTGCATTACAAGCTTTTCCTCCTAAGAGTTGATACCTTCTCCTGCTTAATCTTTCTTCACACAGAAAAAACAAAAGACCTTTCTTACTGAAATCTAAGGCAAGCATATCTAGCCTTAAGCTATTTACAGTGAGGAACCCAATTTCCAAGTCAGGTCAATATCCTCTTTCCTCCCTGTCCCACCCCCCAAAAGCTATGAATCATCATCTGATAAATTTCAGAATAGTGCTTTATTACCCATTTTCCAAAAGGGGCAAGAGGTAAGACACGCAATCAGTAAGGCAGGAAGGAGTCTAGCCTGGAAAACCATGTAGCTACCAGAGACCTAGAAGAGATGTGCCCAAATCTTAAAGCCAGATGCTTTTGGTCTTGTCATGCGTTCATATGACGCATGATTTTGTATCAGAGATGGTAATGGACTAAATTAATATTCTCCTCATACTTTCTTCACTGATCTAGTAACAGCCATAGGAAGACAAAGCCTCCTGTTCCTTAGCTGGCCCTTAGCTTATTGCTGTTTTATAGTCAACAAAATTTTGGTCCAGATCCACATAGATCACGTGTGGCAGCAGCAGCATATTCAGTTTTTAGGCCGCTGGCCAACGTAACACAATCCACAGCTTCAAGGTAGGTATCCACTATGCCGATTGAGCAGACAGGCACCTCCAAGATGTCACAAAATTGAGGCTTCTCTCTCTCTCACATCCCATCACTCTTGATATTGAGCAGTTAGAAAAGTAAAAAAAGTCCTTGAAATAAGACTAACCCAAGGCTCCTCCTTTCCAAACTAATTATGGCTTCTTTCCAGCCAGCAGCTTCTCTATATAAAACAGATTATGGTTCAAAAAAAAAAAAATCCCCACAAAAGCAAAGCAGAACCTTCTCAAAATAGCAAATATCTTGCTAGTCATGGGTCTTCTGGGACCTATTGAAGGGAAGAGACAGGAAGGAGTAGAAGGGCTACAGCTCCTCTCCTTCCAACTCTATTTTGAAAGAAACTGGAGTTAGTGCTTCTGCACCACTCTCGGAGCCCAATCAGCAAGACGTACCAAAAATATCTGTCCAGCTGAGCTTTTCAAACGGCACAGGCAGGGATGCATATTGCAGCTTATGCATTACATGAGCAGGCCCACAATTGAGTGACTCTCACACATGCACAAGAGCAGAAATTAAGGAATGAGGAAGACATTAAGCATTGAACATTAGCCATCTCCCAGGCTGGGAGCAGCTGAGCAAGGAGTCTGAGAAACTAACTTTATACTTAAATGCCCAATTTTGTGTTGCTTTTCTTTACATTCAGGGACATGAGAGAGAGATGCAAACAAACGACCTAATTTTACCCCATCTCAGATATGACGATGCTGTGTAGAGAACGAGGTCTTCGAGAAGTCCACTACAGTCATTGTAACGTGCAACTATGTATCAGTGTGCTCATGTCCTGGGACTCTCCAACAGCAAAACTCCAATTTGAGACAAGATATGTGTTGGTTTGATTTATTAGGCCATAAACAGTAGTTTCTGCAACATTATTTCAAATTTTATGTGTTGCTAAGCCTATATCCGAAGGAAGTTCTGAAGCCTGGGAAATACTTTCACTGCATTCTGCGTTGTCACTTCTATAACTTCTTCAATCGGGATTCTTTTAATTTTGGCAATACATTCTGCAGCAACGTAAATATTTTTTGGTTCATTTCTTACCTGCAGTGCATAAAAACAGACAGAATTACAGATCCCTACAGGTGACAGGTGTGTCAGATTCAGTATTCCCTGACATAGTCAGGTTGAGGGATCTTTGACATTTATCTGTTCTCCTTTGATTACTCTCCCCTTTGCCCAGTCCTGAAACGTCTTCTCTTTTCTCAGCCTCAGGAACACTATCTCTTCAGCTGCTTCTCTGACCTGTTAATCTAAAAACTTTGATCTGGCAATCTCTTTCGTCCCTTTTCTCTGCTCAGACTACTTCACTCCCCCACGCCAACAGCTAACCTCCATAAGGTGCGGTTTTGGAAATAAATATATACACAACTCTCCCCATAATTTACCTGTTTTTCAGGCCCCAGAGCAGGAGAGTCACTTTCTAAGCATATACTTTCCAGAGGTAACAGTTTCACAAGCTTCTGCTTCTTGAAGAAAATAAAGACAACTATTATATGCTTTATTCACTTACACCTGGCAGAAAAACGCAAGATGAAAGCATACGTTCTACATTTGAAAGCAATGTCCAAAGACTTCGGTGCCACGGATAGCATTTTATCAATAATTTCAGAATGGAAGCAAAAATACCAGGAGCTGCTCAAGAAGTCTCTTTGAAAACAGGATAACCCTGCCTCTATTACTCTCAGTATTTAAAGTGCTATTTCCTAAATACTGGATGCATTATTATTTATTAAATCAAGTCACTATATTGCACAAAATACCCTATTGGTATTGGTACCTTGGAGTTACCAATGCAATTTTGTTACTTTTCTGTACATATAATATTTGCCTATCTTTTTTTTCCCCCTCTGCTTTTGCCCCTCAACCCCACTTTGCTTTCCTTTCTCCAGGTTCCTATCCTCATCCTTGTCTATGTCTATCCCTCACAACCCCTGTGCTTGAAGTATGCCTTTTCCTTTCTTACATTTCCTGAGCTTACCATAGAAACTGCTGATGGCGCAGGATGGAAACAGTCTCCCTTTTCCTTCCCCAGAGCAAGAATTCAGCATAGCTTGCAGCAGCCCAGAGCAGAAATTATAAGGGCGTTCTCACGAAGTCAGGGGGTAAATGACGCCAATGCAAACAGTCTTTAAGCGATTTAGCTGCTTCTTCGCTCAACATGCCATGCGCAAAACGCATTTTTTTTCAGAAGCCTTTAACTTAGCCACATATGAGCTGATTCTCTTTGGCAGGGGTGGGGGGAGCATCACAGTATCACTGACATAAAAACCAGTCCTTTTCCAAATGTCAAGTCCCTGTGCTACAAACATTGCAGTGATACAAGTTTCCAAAGTAAAGCTCTCCAGAACACACTAAAATGAGCAAAAAAATACCCTACGTCCTTAACCCTTGTTCTCAGAAATAACTCGACTGTTTTAGCCAGAATTTCCCTCGAAATGTCTAGCTATGGCAAAAGCCCCCGGAGAGAAACTCAGCTAGAGTTAAAATGCACAACGCTATAAGCAGCTGAAAGCAGGCTCTTCTATCAAGAAGTGTCTGGTGACATTAACCATAGGTGAGCACTGCAAGTATCGCGTCAAGCTGTATAGACTTTAAAAAGCGTACTTTTCAGCCACACAACAAAAACGTAATGCTTTCATCCCGATAAGCTGAGAGCTATTAGCTGAAATCCTCAAGCACCAAGACAGAGCAATCCCCTTTAAATGTTACCTGTTCACTCCTTATAACGGAAGGAGGGATGGAGAAGAAGTATCCAGCTTTCACGCCTTCCATTGCTACGGATGGCTTCCCATCAAATGCATGGAGTAACACATTCCCAGCACCTCAGAGAACAGAACCAAACCAGTTTTTTAACAGTGTTTAATGTAGGTCTGCAATGTCAGCTTCCAATGGGATGTTGGTCCCATCTTCAAACCATTCTTCCCGAGTTTCACGTACACAAACTGATAAAAGGACATGGCAAAACTGAAGAAGTTATGTTGACAAAAATGATGATGGAGAAAGTGCATTAAAAATATACCTTGTTCCTTTAAGAGATTAATGGTTGGTCTTCCAGCTGAGCGGGAATGAACATTTCTGCAAAGCAAGGAGAAGCCAGGCATGAGGGAATTCAGTAGAGTACTTTCCCTCACACAAACATAGATGAGGTGACAGCAGCTTGGGAAGGAAAGAAAACGATTGATCTGTATTACATCTCTTATCAAGAAAGAATTCTAAAGGAATATCTAAAGGGATATCTAAAGGAATCATTTTAGCTACTGTGAAAACACAGCAACAACACAGCAAGGACAGGACACACAGAAGACTATTGTATTCAAGTGGAAACACGGGGAAAACTCAGTAATTACATCTCGAACTGGAGACTGACAGGCTGAAAATGCCAGTGTAATACATGTAAGAAAAGTTCTATGGACTTGTAGCAACTATAAATGCTGGGAAATATTGCCTTAGGTTTTTGAGATCTAGCAAATTTTCTTATTAGCATAAAGAAAACCTACAAAGGCAAATCCAGTCTTCTTGCTAACTCAACCTGCTTGATTAAAACCTGTCTTTGTCCTTCCTTCTGTTCATCCGAGCTGGCAAATCTGGGAGTGAAATCTAGTCCAACCTAGAGTACGAGAAGAGAAGTGAGAAAATTTCACATATCTAATGCTTGACTAAACCACAATACCACATATAAACGAAAATATGCCTCAAACCTACAATCCATTTAAAAACGAATATGCTGGAGACTGCAATTAAAATGAGCTCAACTGTAGTTCTACTAATAAAATAATTCATTCTCAAATATCAGTTCTTCAATTGTGAAAACACTTCAGAGAGACTTACTAGCAAGTTTATTTAGCATTTCAATCTGCCTTTGGTTTTCTGCTCTTTTAGATATTATTGAATATTATTTCAGATCTAGATCTCGATAGACGTTGAATTTCTGAACTGAACTTAGTACTATCTCTAGCAAAAAATAACCATTAATTCTATACTTTTTTGATTTAAACATATTCAAAGGAAATTTAAGGTTTGTCAAAGCAGCCCAGTTCACAGTTATACCCACTGAAGTCCTTGACGTACAATACAGGTGCGATATGACAAACTTAGCTACAAAGCTCTGCCAATAACTAGTTTCCCTGCAGCAAGTACAAAACCAGCCAAAGCCTCTCTGCTACCAACACACAAAAAAGGTAACTGTATCCTGAAGTTTTCAAGCCTCATTTAGTTTACAGCCAAATATAAGACAAGAGACAACATAGGGATATACGCAGACAAGGAATCACAAGGAAGCAGCGTTACAAAAGTCCATGAGGTACACTGACAGGAAAGCTTAGCCTCACTTTGTCAGAGCAGGAGGGAGGAATGATCTGAACGAGGATAACAGCGTGACTCCGTGTTTCACTGTGCCAGAGAACAGGTCAAAAGACATGCTGGTATAAGAGAACATATGATAATTTTGCAATTGTTCCTACTGAATTTAGCAGCATAAGTGCCATTTATTTCCTAACTATGGAAAGGATGAGATCAGGCAAATATATGAAGGAAAGTACAGTAAGGCAATTAAAAATCAGACTGTCCACTTTTTCAGCTTGCTAGTGATATCTATTGCACATAGAGAACTAAGTAGTTACTAAACATTTGTAATTCTGGCGACAGATGCTGCCAAAACCACAGCCATTTAAACAAAACAGGGGATTCTACTCACTTCTCCAATTGCTACCAATTTATCTTTATAGTGTTCTATAAGCGGCAGTGCAGCATCCAGATCCTGCAAGAACAAATTAAAGAAGTAATCCTCACTGACCTTATGAGACAGAAACAGTATGAATTCAGTATCATTACTAAATAGGATTTCCCTTCATTGTTCTTAACTTCAGCATCCTGAAAGTTGCTACTACAGTAAGTGAGAGTTGAGTGGTCAGTCAGGTTTTAGGAAGCAGCAGGATTCCCCTGCTTTACTCAATGACCCTTCATTTCAAGTTTATCCTTCCACAGGAGCTGAAGAGTTAACCCAAAAAAGATCCATAAGAAGTCTGATGCTATATGGTGGCAGACAGCTGTCTTAAGTTTTTCAGGTTAAAGGTACAAACTGTTAGCTTTCCACTTCCCGTGCTAACAGAGGGACAGCTCGAAATACAAATGCGTTATGTTTGTTGCAAGCAAATCACTCGCCTGGGATTTTCAAAGCGTGTCACTGTAAAATCTGTAATACAGCTAAATGACTTCAGTGAACAGTTTTGCTTCTAAGGGCTAAGACAGACAAATGGTTGTGTTACGAGACCTTGGGATTTGGTCCATTGTTTTCTATTTTACAGAAGCACATAAAAATCACTGGGCAGATGTGAAGTTCAATTAGTCAGACCAGCGCATTCTTCAACCATTGTATATCCAAACCAGTCCTAGAAGCGTTTTAAAAGTTGACTAATCCCCCCTGCCTATATATATATATATTTTTTTTTGCTGTACCTTTAAAGTGACACTGCGTTGCTCTTCCGGGGAAAGGTCTTGAACCGGGTGAACACCTAGACATGGCAAAACAAACCCTGGGAATCTAGAGGTGAGGGAGACGGCGTAAGAGATCACAAGCGAGCAAGGTTACAACCACAAAAAGAAACAAAAAGAAGAAGGCGGCAGCCTGATCAAGGAGAAGGACAACGTGCTCCTTCCCCGTTTCACGCACCACGGGGCGACTACGCTGA